TATTGCCTATAAATGATGTCCATTATGATGTCCATTATGATATTCCAAAGTATGATACTTTTGATCTTTATTCAGTTTATTTTTATACATGATCTGCTGTGCAACCTCCAAGAGCAGTGAATGTAAAACACAAATGCTTAATCAAAAGAATTAATCTGACCATATGACCATGGACATGGTACCATAGGGTTGGAGGGCCACTGGCTCCAAAATATAATAGCTTTAACTGGAACCTAATAAATTCTATCTTATTGTTCAGGTCTATGGTATGATTTGAGTGGAGAAATGCAAATTATAGCCAGTAATATTCAGTGAATTCTATTCCCTTGGCAATCTGGTAGATCCCTCTTAAAAGGTTACTGATGCCTTGGCATCCTGTAGATGCAGGGTTTGATACATTAAACTGAGCCGCAGAGAGATTACTTTTAAAATTAAAAAATGGGTTCTAATTTTAAAAAGTATTAAATCCCCTTACCTGCTGAACTAAACTCTGTAAAAATATCTTTATTTGTTTGAGGCTTTCCATCTGGATCAATGTCCATGATGGTACGCCACAATTCAGAGAATCTTGTTCGTTTTTCTTTAGGCATATAAATTCCATGCCATAGTGCTTTCAGCATGTAGTCAACACTGATCAGAATTTGGCCAATCCTGGTATCATAATAAGCTGGAGGTAACTGGCAAGAAGAGCTCTGATCATAATTAGCTTCCAAACTGATAGAAGGAATTTGATTTAAGCAATAAATTCCAACAGCCAACTCTCTTATGATCTGATGAACTTCTCTATAATCTAAGAGGGCAGTAGAGTCCACAGGTGTCAGCAGGATTGCACTGGAGAAGCCTACATTATTTATTTGACTCATAATTCCACATGGTATGTCTAATTGAGTGCGGACGTCTTCGTTGGAAGACAACCAGCTAACTTGTACAGTAGTTAGCAACTCTTGTACTTCACTTCGATCAAATTTTTCAAAAAAAGCAGAAGCATTTCTCTGTACTGATAAATTTTCCAGGTAGGTTTCTTCATCTTGAGTTTGGTCAGGTTTAGGCAATCCTTTTTTTGATAATCTTAACATTTCTAATTAAGTATAGTGTGTCCTTTTTGACGTTTCTGCAATGAATAAAAAAGGAAAAGACAAGCAATAACATTTGTGATGGAAATAAATTAGAGTTCCTGAGAAATAAATCTGTACCTTTCATCTTTTAAAATTAATTGTTTCATGGTCAATGACTACCTTTCTTCAGTTGTTAACTACAGCATAAGAAATATGAAATATTAATTAAAACAAAATTGTAAAATTTTAACATTATGGTCTCCTTTTCAAAAGAAGTCAAAAGGTACTTAGAAGTATGTTAAAAAAAAAAAGAAACGTAAGTTTATATATGAGAAACTATAGTTGCATCCCTATTGGAAAGGTATTATGTTTACAGTTAACTCTCCCCATCCTAGAGTTCTTCAGGGGCTTGGGGTAGGTAAACTTCAACCAACTATGGTTTGAAAATACTTACTATGTAGTTGGGCCTACTTTGGTTGCTGTAACTGAATGCGTACAGACTTTATTTTCTTGTCTTCTTTCCCTAAACAATGGTGTATAACAGCTATTTGTATAATGTTCACATTGCATTAGCTATTATAACTAATTTAGAGATGATTAAACGTATATAGGAAGATGTGAGAAGGTTGCAATTACTATGCCATTTTTATATAAGAGACTTGAGTATCTATGGATTCTGATATCTGTGTGGGCCTGGAACTAATCCCCCTAGGATATTCAGAGATGACTGTATTTTGTTTTAAAAGGTTTTATTTGAATTGTTTTAAAGATTGATTTATTCATGTGTAGAAGAATTGGGATCTAGGCCAGAGATACAAGGGTGAGAGGATTCACCAGAGACAAAGAGGGGAGCAGAACAGGTGGATCTACTGAAACACACTGCTGAGGGGAGCAGTGGGAGAGTCAGGGGAGGTCTGTGACACCATATGTGGGTTAGCTCCTTGGGCAGCCGGGGATCAAACTCAGGCCATAAAAGTGATAGCGCTGAGACTTAACCCTAGGCCACCAGGGCAGTCTTCAAAACTTTTAAAAGCAAGAAAATAAGGACCTACTTAAAAGAAAAGATAAGAAGTACCCTGCTTAGCTGTCTATTTCTTTGCAAAAAAAAACAAACCAAAACAAAACAAAGAAAACTGCTCCCTGAGAAATAATAACCATGTGAAAAATTAACATCACTGGTGCTATTTTAAAAAGGGCTTGGAGCAAGCCTTAGCAGACCAGACTAGGCCAAACCCTTGGACTGGGCCAAACCACCAGTATTCAGGAACCAGCAAGAATGAGAATATCCAGTTAAAAGGACTGATGAAAGTGAACTTTTACCACTTTTATCTTTGGACCCATCCAGCTGACTATTAACTCATCTCCCATTACCTCATCTATGTTTTTCTCTCTGAAAATCCCTCCAAGGGCCTCCCTAGTGGTGCAAGGGGTTAAGCACACCACTATGAAGCTATCTGCAGCCACTGCAGCAAGAGTTTGATCCCTGGCCAGGGAGCTACCCACATGGCGCAGCAGACCTCTCCTGTGTTTCCCACTGCTCCCCTCAGCAGTGTATTTCAGTCAGTCTGCCTGTTCTGTTCCCCACTCTGTCTCCGATGAATCCTCTCACCCCTGCACCTCTGGCCTGTACCCTAGTTCTTGTATGAGGAAGGAAGGAAGGAAGGAAGGAAGGAAGGAAGGAAGGAAGAAGGAAGGAAGGAAGGAAGGAGGAAGGAAGGGAGGGAGGGAGGGAGGAGGGAGGGAGGGAGGGAGGGAGGGAGGAAGGGAGGGAGGGAGGAAGGGAGGAAGGGAGGAAGGGAGGAAGGAAGGAAGGAAGGAAGGGGAAGGAAGGAAGGAAGGAAGGAAGGAAGGAAGGAAGGAAGGAAGGAAGGAAGGAAGGAAGGAGGAAGGAAGGAAGGAAGGAAGGAAGGAAGGAGGAAAAGGAAGGAAGGAAGAAGGAAGGAAGGAAGGAAGGAAGGAAGGAAGGAAGGAAGGAAGGAAGGAAGGAAGGAAGGAAGGAAGGAAGGAAGGGAGGGAGGAAAAGGAAGGAAGGAAGGAAGGAAGGAAGGAAGGAAGGAAGGAAGGAAGGAAGGAAGGAAGGAAGGAAGGAAGGAAGGAAGGAAGGAAGGAAGGAAATCCCTTCAAGTGCCCTCTTTCCACCTGAATTCCAACTTGAGAAAGGTTTTTGGTTTCTACCCGTGTGCCTCCAACTACAATTCTCTATTCCCATTTAAATGCACTGTGGCTTGCCTGCTAAACTGCTGTTCTGATCTCAGGTGAAACACCATTTACCACACATCTACTATTTGTCTAACTCTTCATACACAGTATTTCATTTAATTGGCTCCTCTGTTACACACTGACTCAACATTCATCCCGTATCAAAATTACCTGGGCTTGTTAAAACAGATTACTGGGTGCCACACCAGAGTTTCTGATTTGGTAGGTTGGAGTGGAGCTGGGGAATTTGCATTTCTGAAAAGCTGGAGGTGATGGTAATGCTGCCATCAGGGGACCACACTTAGAGAACCCAGCAAAGCATGACAGGCATTGGTATCACCACTTTAAGATGCAATAATGGAAACGAGGAAGGTTGCAGAACATACCTGATGTTTCCCACATTCGGAATCAGAACCAGCCCAGGTCTGCCCATATTCAAGTCCCAGTCCTATGCACACATAGGCACAGGAGAAGGAAGTCAAGGCAAGGGAAGAGACCTACTTTGCTTGCCTCACCCCAATTTTATTGATTTGCTAGTCATTTACACAATTATATAATTTTGAGATTACAACTTCACACCTTCATATGTGTGTTCAAAAAATCTACTTTAAAAATTTTTTTAAAATATTGAGGTAATGTTGGTTTACATCATTGTTTGTATTTTGGGAGTACAGGACACCCCCCACCCCCACCATGTTATTAACATAGTGCACCCACCACCAAAGCACCTGTGGTCCATCAAGAAACCCACTTTAACTCAGGTCACTGAGTTAATGGTTTGAACTTTATTTTAAAAATTTAGGTTAGTGGCAGTAGATGTTAGAGGCACAGGCCAGAGTGGTGGTAATGGAGAGAGAAGACTGCGGATGGATTTGAGAAATAAGGGTAGTCTATTGGTAATAGTTTGAATAGGGGTAGGGTGTTAAAGAAAAGGTGACCTCCACATTTCTGTCAGATGCAACAGGGGATTAGGACAAGCTTGAGTTCAATTGTGCACATACTGGCCTGGATGTAACTGAGAGAATCAAGCAGGATTAAACCTACTTTACCTCAATAAATAGAATTTTGGGTAAAAAAGAAATCTAAAGCCTTACCTCACATACACCTAAAATGGAAGAAAATTATATATATATATATATATATATATATATATATATATATATATATATATATATATGTTTTCTTGTCCTGGTTAGGAAAGCTGTGTCCACACTGGTCCTGGAGTATTCTGTGGGCTGGAAATAGGTTGCTCTCAGTGAGGTTTCCCTGGGCCTGAGTAGGAATCCTGCTGGGGAGAGGGTGATAGGGGAGACACTGCCAGGAGGATCTGAGAGGGACTTTCTAGGGTGAGGACCAGGGGAAGGCTGCTGGCCCCATGTTGGCTTCAGGGCCATCTTGGGTGCCCTTGGCTTCACTGCTTCACCTACCTTCAGTGGGGCACCAGACCCCTCCACTGCAGAGAAGTAGATAGAAGCTGATGGCCCTCCAGATCTAGAGTCTAATGTGAGACACCTTGGGGTGAGCCAGTGGATCAATTCGGGGAAGGCACACATGCGTACACAGTGCAGGGCCCCCAAACTGACGTCCCCCACTCCCGCCTCTAGAACTCATTCCAGTTTCATGGTCTCTTATTTCTCTATTTCTCCCCTCACTGTTTGTCTCTGCTAAGACACAAAGCAGTGGCAGAGAAAGCTCTAGGTTCTGAGGTAGTCTTGTTGGAATCTTACCCCCATCATCATTCTTTCCTCCTACTAACCTTTATGGAACACTTATTATGAGCCAGGTGCTAGAAGTTGGTGACCCTGGAAAACAGAGAAATTTAGTTACAATTTAACCATAGAAACATATTTAAGCAATGTGACAAATTTAGTTAAGTAATGACAGCACATGAAGAAAAGCTAACAAAGACCCTGGCCTGAGAAAGCTTGTGCAGTTGGTTTTCAAACAAACTAGAAGATGGACAAAAGCTATGGAAGCAGAGTTCAAGAAGTAACTTTCCAGGGATAGAAAATAACAGGTGATGAAGAATTGAGTTGAGAAGAAAGTTGAATATTTTGGGGAACTCAACAAAAACAATGCATAGAGAACCAGAGAGGTGGGTACAAAATTAGGACACAGAAGTAGGTGAGGGCAGACCATGCAGGCCACTGAGTTAATGGTTTGAACTTTATTTTAAAAATTTAGGTTAGTGGCAGTAGATGTTAGAGGCACAGGCCAGAGTGGTGGTAATGGAGAGAGAAGACTGCGGATGGATTTGAGAAATAAGGGTAGTCTATTGGTAATAGATTGAATAGGGGTAGGGTGTTAAGGAAAAGGTGACCTCCACATTTCTGTCAGATGCAACAGGGGATTAGGACAAGCTTGAGTTCAATTGTGCACATACTGGCCTGGATGTAACTGAGAGAATCAAGTAGAGATACGAACATGCCTCACATATACAGGTCTGGGTTAATAATGGCAGTTTGGGTTAGATGTATACATTTGGGCAGGATTAATAAGGTAACTACATCAGGGGAGGTTGAAATCACCCAGGGAGAGAATAGAAAAGGAAAATATAGGATAAGATCCCAGGAAAGATATCAGATAAAGTTAGTATTTAAAGACCAGGCACAGTGGGTGGAATCAGCAGAGGTGACAAAGAGGGAAGTGCCCAGAAGGCAGAAGGAAAACCAGAATTGGTCACAGAAGCTAAGTATTCCAAGAATAGGCGAATGACCAACTTCATTGGATACCATTCCTAAATCAAGAAATGAGAACTAATTTAGCAACATGGAAGTTTTGGGTGGCTGTTTGGAGGAAGAATTTGTCCTGTACCCACACCATCATTATTTTAGCTGCTTTAGAAGTAGTGAATATTAATAAATGTATGACCATTATTTTAGGGCGACGATAGATGTCCAGAGGTCCTGCCTTAAAGAAATTTGTGTGTTTACTCTTGTGAACTATGAATAAAACAGGTAAATTCTTCTACTTGAAAGCTTTAAAACAAACTCAGATAGTTTGTTCTATGTATCTCGACTCCTTTGAGAACGTCATTCTAGAGATTATGGAATCAAGGTGCAAGAAAGTCATTACCAAACCATGTGGGGCCTAAGAACAAAAAAATCCATGCAGAGTATCTTACTGGTGATGATCTAGACTCCCCACAGAGGATCAACTGATTAATACATATAAAACTCAGAGAATAGTGCCCACTACAGTCAGCAGTGTATCAATGATCATTTTTTTAGTACTGAACTTTATTACAAAAATAATTATTCTATTTATCTCTAAGATGTTGAAAAATCTACCTATTCCCAATACCAGCAATGTCAATTTAGTGTTCAGGAACATGTAGCTACTTGAAGTTGTCAGGTAAGGGGATAAACCTATGCAGGTACTACTTAAACCTGGTTTAAACATTGCATTTACCAGGTAATAAATCAGGGTGTATGAAATCTTTTGGCAGGCTTGTCAGAATCCTTAAATTTCTTTCCCACTCTGACTGAAATAATTAAAGTGTATCTAGACCCAGAAAGTGTGTCAAGCCCTAACTGGAGGTAGATTCCAACAGTGATCTTGGCGTGGTGGTCAGAGTCGAACAATATGGGTAGAGGTCAGGTTGGCGTGGAGTTAAGTATGTGAAAAGATGGAAAGGATGATTGTGGATGGGAGGTTAGAGATGGTAAGCAAAGAAAAATGTAGGACCAGGAATATATATTATTTAGATGAAACATTTTACACTAAGGATCCTACAGAGAAAAAGTTGAAGATAACTGGAGAGAGGAGTATAAGGCTTCTGATAGGCAGGAAGGGTTGGAATACAGAAGCACAGACTTTGGATGCATGGATTGAACTTCCTTTTCTAATAAGAAAGGAGTAGTAGCATGTACCTACAGCTAAGTAAGAAATGCTGGTGTTGTAAAGTGGAGAAAGTTCTTGGCCTGATGACTTTGATCTGTGTAAAAGCTCATGAGCTAAGACTGGGGCAGAGAGAGGGCGAATGGAGATTTGTGGGGCAGAATGTTTAAAATAGTCTTCAAAATTCTAGAATGGGAAAGTTGCCTAAAGAGATTTAATACAAGTAGCAATTATCACTCAGAGGTTTGAGCCTCAAGCAAACTGTTTAGCTTCTCTAAATCTTAGTGTTTCATCTGTTAAACAAGGCCCGGTCTAAACTGAGCCACTGACAACAGTAATAACAATATCTGTTATTTCTGGATGTAGCTACCATGAAGTTAGTAAAAGCTACCTTCTTTTATGTTGCTGGTGGGCTATTACAATTTAAGAGTTCCAAAAAAATGGTATCAAAGTTCAAAACATCCAGATTGTTCTCAGTATAATCTTTTTTCCTATCATTTTGACTAAATTGGTTATATAAAGCTATATGTAATACATAAGTAAAAATGAACTTTGAAACCACATTATATAGCAGTAAGTAGCAAGTGTTTTATTTTTATATAATCATCATTAACAGATGTTGGTACACTGCCAAATCATGTTTTAATCTCTTTTTCAACAGAAAAGTTTTCTAAGGAAATGTCTTGGAGTCTTCCACATTTATCAGATGCCTTTTCATTATTGTTTTCCATTTTTGCAATTCTAGATCCAAACTGCATGGCCCGTTTTGGCAGAAGAGTAGAGGCTGTTAAACCAAGTTCCACTGCTGCAAGGCGCAAAATTAGTTTTTCACCAATTCCACGGGGCAAAGTCAAGTTTGTCTTTTCCCAAACTGGTAGAGAATTTAGGAAGGAGACAACATTTTCATCCAGAAAAGGAAATCTAAAATAAATAAATATAATCATTATAAAAAATAAAATCTATTTGTTATAATTATTGTTTTTACGTTTCATTCTAATTAAAATTTATAATATAAAATTAATTTTTGAGGACAGTTTCTCTCAATTAAAAATATTCTGGCTACTTACACAATTTTGTAACTAAAGTTTAATCACATTTAAAAAGTACTTCATAATGTGACTAATTTTTATATGCTACAAAATATAAAAATCTTGTCTCAATAAATCAATTAGATCTATGGTGTCAAGAAATAATTTCAAACTGTTTCAAAAGATACCTTTGGAGAGACCATGAAAACAAATTAAAATGTCTACAGACCAAAAAACCAGTTTCCTAAGACTAGAGGAGAAAGTTTGGGGGTAGGGGCTATGCCTTTCCTGGGAGGAAACAAAACTTTTTAACTATCTTCTTTTGGCATCTCACTACCTCAATTTCACTTCTAGTGCTTTTCATTGTAGTACTAATAGCAATCAAGTCATTTTACGATCTTTGAAAATTATTGAAGAAATATTTCTTGGAGAATGAGTTCTGGAAAACCACTGCACCTCTGGCTTTTCCCCAGATTTGCTTCTGGCTGTGTCTCTAGCATAAAGTCAAGATATTATTGTTGCCACTGTTATTTGAACAGTCTCTAAAGAAGGAACCTACAGCTCTTTGTTCAGTCCATTGTTTTTAGAAAGTTACCCAAAAACACTCAGATTAGAATTACCTTGCTTCTTTTCCATGATCACCAATAACTCTGTCATCACGACCAAGATTTCTAGAAGAAATTCGACCCAATTCCATCTTTATTTCTTTAATCAATCCTTCCAGCCCATGTGTCTGAAAGCGGACACGATGACGAGAATAACCTGCTAATTGCTCATCTGCACCAATTCCAGTAAGAACTACCTATAAAGATTTAAAGAAATTCATATTAAAATTGTTATTTAGGATCAGGGTGAAGTTACCCTTTGTAGAACTTGGCCTGCAGTTTGGCTTGCTCCTTTTTTCCTGCCATCCTTCTTCATCCCTTAACAAGTTTTAATAAATTATTTACTATATAGGAAAGAAAAGCAAAGCTTAAAAAACAAAAATGAACTCCAGTCCCGTAACTGTGTGGTGTGCCCCATTTTAATAGTAGTTTTAATATGGTATACTCTTGCAACCTAAGTGCTAACAGGTTTTAGAGACAGAACTAGGTCTCAGAAATTGTTCTGAGCAGAAATACTGCGCCATACCTTTGCACTGCTCTGATATGATTTCACTTCATCCGGGGTCACTAAACAGCCAGTTCCTCTAGAAGCAAACCAGACTGCACAGCCAATGCTATCATCCAAAACTGTATCTAAGGGGTGGACTAACTGACATATTCGAGCTCTTCTAAATTTTTGCAATTCTTCCAGAGAAACATTAATTTCAACAAAATTCCAAATCCGGAAAGGGTTAGTGACTTGTAGTTCTTTTAGTCCTGCTCTTCCTGTGATGCGATCTGGTGCATTAAATTGCTTATCAGACCTATCAGCAGCAACAGCAGTATTTTCAGAGGATTCCTCAGCAGGTGTTTTGCAATTTTTCTGTCTTCCCCTTTGTTTGTTAAAACTAGCTGGTATGATCTTTTCTTTAGTCATGAAAGCCACATTAAGAAGATCAATTGGTTCATCTAAAGGGATATGACGGTCAGCAAGCGTTGCAATAACCATGGAATCAATGCCTCCAGAAAACAGGATTGCAACATTTGCTTTTCTCTCATGAGTTCTCAAAACTTCATTTGGTGTCAGGGGTTCATCCCTCGGTAAACACAAGACACGTTTCTTCACTGCACTACTCAGGACATCAATGAACTGCTGAACTACTTCCTTCATGTGTCCATTAGTAAGAAAAACCTGAAATGTCTCTCTTGTAGGTGGGGTGTTGGAAATGGTACTGCAATCAATCTCAGATGGAATTGGTGGCAACATCATATTTAAAGGAACAACAGGATCTTTAAGATATAGTTTGGCTTCATTTGCTACCACTGATACAAATGGTGGCAAATCTGCTGCAATTTGAGTCAGGGTATTAACACATTCTTCTGTGATAACATTCTCCCCAGAAATATATTTCCAAGGATAGAATTTTAAAACCACAAGTCTGGAAGTGGAAGCAGACTTGAGATCAATTCTGAAAATTCCAGATGCTGGAACTTCTTGCCACTGATTGGCCACTCCAGATATTTGGGCACCAACTGAAGAGAGAGAGAAACTCTTGCCCAAATCACTAAAATGCCAAAGCAAGCTACGGCGACCAAAAAAATCTCTACCAAACCATAAATAATGACTAGATGCTTGATAATATATAAAAGACCAAGGACCTTGGACTTCTGAGAAAACTGACAAAATATCAGATTCATTCTTACAAGAGGAAAGATAATTAAACATTATTTGAGTATCATTCTCTCCAGCTTTAACCATTACTCCACTGAAGACTTCTCCATTCCACAAGAACACATTCCCTCTTTCATCTTCCATAGGCTGGGCAGTCAAAACACCTCTCAAGTGAAGAACATGACCAGAAAATAAACACTGATAGTTAACATCAGTCTTTAACAATTGTTTACTACTATTGGGTCCTCGTCGTTTAAGATTGCAGAGTAAATCCTCTTTCAGATCTTTGCTGAAATGCTCAACAGAAAAGCTTACGGAACAACAAATGCCACACATTGTTATGTGAAATCAAGTTGATTATTTCTTGATCTGGGGCTTGTCTAAGTTTTCTATTTCTTGGTATTCTTTTTTCAGCTCATCCAGTATATCTGTGGGTAGAAGAGAGAATAAATTTTAAGTAAAATAATAATTCTTGTACTTTTTCTTAGAAATTCATAGGAAAACATTGGGTATTTACCAAGATCAAACCATTTGAGCATTAGTACTGTGCTAGTGCCAATAACTTATAATTGGCTTCTAACAAAGAATATTTATATTTCAGAAAATAGTTTTTGTTTATTAAATGTAAATTAAATGTATTTTCTAAATACTATTTTTAGAAAATAGTTTTTGTTTATTAAATTGAATTTGACTAGGCACAGGGCTCTTTATATGTATATTTAAATCACACAAGACCTTGAAAGCTCAAAGTGATTCTCTCCAATTCATAAAGGAAAAAAGTAGAACAATTTTTCATACTTAGATTTGTCTTAAACTCTAAAGCATACTTTGGTAACTATTGCTTTTAAAACATCTTTATATATTTTTATGTGATTCTATTTATATTCTAGACTCATCTTCGGAAGGTCAACTGGTAGAAAACCAACCAGTGCATTAATTTTATTGACAAGTATATTACATTTGATCTTTAGATACATAAGCATTCAGATATAGGTAGTATAACTCAGGCATAATTCCAGCTTTCTACAGAAAGTCTAGAAAAGACTTTGTGTGTGTTTCCATATAAAAAAAGAAAAAAAATAAACCCCTTACTTTTGCTTTCGGAAAGCATTTCTGTTCGGTCTGCAAGAAAGAATATGTTGCTGTTCTGTTGCTGTCTATAGACTTTCTGCAAAACATAATTTAGGCTAATATCATGATTTGACCTTAAAAAGAATAGATGCCAAAACTCTGAATTCTATTACCACTTCTTGAAATTTCAGCAACTTACAATCAGATCAATACTTTAGCAAATATAAACAAAATCACCCAATACCAACTAGAATTTCTAATAACACTGAGGTAAAACTATTTTCTCTGCATACACCACATTACCATTATTGAACAAAAAAGTCCCCTACTATAACTATGGACTTATAATTTGCTTTTATACTGAGAACACCTCAACAGTAGTGTTCTTTTACAATTTTGTTTTTGGGTGTAACATTGCAGTTTATCTGGTCAGTACTCAAGTTTTAGCTATTTTAAGGTCTTACCAACTTTTCAGTATTATAAATCAATGTTCTAATGAACGTCTTTGTAACTAAATCTGCACATTCCCAGGATTCTTTCCTAAGTAGCAATTCCTATAAAACTGCTGGGTCAAAGTTTTATATAGTTTTAAGGCACTGATACATCCTATCAATTTAACTTTTCAAAGTTTATATCAATGGTGCCTTAATTTATATTTTAGGAAATAGTTTTTGTTTATTAAATGCCTATTTGACTAGGCACAGGGCTCTTTATATGTATCATATTTATTTATTTATTTAGAGGCATGTTTTTATTTATTTATTTATTTGTTTGTTTGTTTGTTTTGTTTTATACATGCACTGGGTACAGTCAGAAGCACGGGAGGGTGAGAGAATTCACCAGAGCCAGAGCAGGGAGCAGAGCAGGCAGAAGGACCCAAGTACACTGCTGAGGGGAGCAGCGGGCGGCAGGAGAGGTCTGCACGCCATGTGGGACCCTCCTCCGGTGGCCGGGGAGCAGCCGGGGATCGAACCGGCGCCGCAGAGGTCGCCGGCAGCTTCGCAACCCAGCGCTCAACCGCTGCGCCACCGGGGAGGCCCTATATGTATCATATTTAAATTACACAAGACCTTGCAAGCCCAAAGTGATTCTCTCCAATCCATAAAGGAAAAAAGTAGAACAGTTTTCATACTTAGATTTGTCCTAAACTCTAAATGTCAAAGTGACAATGTCAAAAATGTCAAACCTGTAACTTATTAAATAATCTTTAAAAGGATTCACACCCATTTCTTCCTGAACTTTAAAATGTAATTTCTTTGCATTTCTGTATGTACATTAATGAAAGTAGCATTAAATAACCATGTTAAATATTTGGAATATTTGTGTAAAAATAACTTCTGGGAGGGAAAATAATTTATCCCCACCCTTCTTCCACTGTCCTAACAATTACGCACACTTATTCAAAGGAATAATCTCCATTTTTCTCAATATATTCAAAATTCATTTATTTCAAAAGAAAACACCAAATACAAGTGTAAAGTAAATACCACTAGTGATCACAACCCCAAGACACTCCTTACTGTAGTTAGTAACATTTGGTTTAAAGATAATGTGAATTGCATATAAAATCTTGAACAATTTTTATGTTGTTTGCAATTTAACTAAAAAGATGCTCAAATCATCTAAAATTTAATATAAATACATAAATCCTATGTATGATTCTTAAAACTTCATTATATAGCCAATAAAATGTGATTAAATCCCCCTATACACTATTCAGATTTACTCATAACAACTCACCCTGTTCTTCTTCAGGTTAGAAAGCTCATCCACAACAATTTTTTGCTCTTTAATCTATTAAAATAAAGAAAAATGTCTTAGAGGTTTTCAAAATATGCTCCATGAGGAACTTTATAATTATAGAAATAGGATTAAGGGGTTACCACATACTGCCCAAATGAGCAATCCGTGAATATATACATTCTTTGTATGGGGTTGGAGGTGAGAGGAAGGTGGAAGAGGAAACAGTGATTAAATTTGTCAAGTATTAGACAGTCCATTGAATCCACTCAGGGGGTTTGGTGTTGGTAAGCATTCATGCAAAGGCAATAGCTACTAAATAAGTTTTATACCTTAAAAAAACAAACAAACCCAAACCAGACAACATTCACCAAAAGCATTATTAGTCTTCCGATTTCTTTAAAATTATATTCTAGCTTTTAAAAAAACAGTACATGGAATGATGTGAGGGCTACTTTTCCCACCCCTCCCAAATACCAGTTCTTTTCATGATATGAATGGCACAGCCAGGCATTCACAACAAGTAAATGGTACTAATTCCTGTTTCTGGGGTAGTCATCCCTCACTTCTCACCTTGCTTTAGTCCCCTTTGTATCTCAAACACCAGTGTGGGGCAGGCACTGTTGAACATCACCCTTTATTAGTAGGAGAGGGCTCAATTAAGTGGAAAGTTTATTTTTAACTCTTCTCTGTAAGGGTATTTCTGGGAGCACAAATAATTACATAGTATCAATAGCATCTCTAAAGCAGATTTTATAATCTTTGTCCAGCCTCCCAAATTTAGGGATCTGTCTTACAGCTGTGTAAATTGTTTACTACCTAGTAATCAAAGTCGGCAGTGTGTTGTTTGAAAACTCACCCAACCCAGGTGTGTACCGTTCTTGTCTCTCCAGCTGAGTCAATGTGGTGACTAAATTGAATTAAAACCCAATATGGTATTTTCACAAATTCTTTGAGACTAGTTTGAGCAGTGCTGTCTCATTCATTTTATAATTCTCATTCAAACAAGGTTACCTTGACACAGAGGGGATTAGATTTGCCCAAAATATCATTGTTCGTTTGGGATAGAATTATGGTAGAACTGGGACATCTAATATCCGAAAAGAATCATCCTCATTTCCACATGCTTAAAGGCTTTATCTATTTACACATTTAAGATTTATATTATATTTGGCTTCCCTTCCTCCTGGTGGGTGCGATGGGTGGGTGGGGAGTGACAATTAGATACGTGTTTTAGCATCACTTCTCTGGCTAGGTATGTGTTTTAGCATATTTAACAATTAGATATGTGTTTTAGCATCACTTCTCTGGCTAGAGTGGAGAATAATTTGGAGGATGGTACGGATGGCTGACGTGAAACTAGTAAAGATGTCATGTTGCTATAGGGCAGCCCCGATATTGAACGGGTTCCTGGCTATGGGTCCTCACCCGCGCGCTTAAAAGGGACTTATTAATACTTCACTACAGGCACACACAAAAGGTTAATAAAAGGTTTATTTACAAGGGAAAAGGAAATAAGGAAAATGTACAACTCAGGGAGAAAACAGGGAAATAGTCTTTAATGCGTCCTACCTGATCCGCCGACATGGAAACCCAAAGTCACTCTCAGAGCTGGCCAGACACTGCTAGCTGGCGGAGCGCCAAAATGGGGGGACCACCACCCAAGCCCACGTGTCTGGCTTTATACCAACCTGGCTGCTTAACCCCACCTTCAGGTCCCAGCCACCTTCCCTTTGGTGGTGATGGGATTTGGAGTTCCCAGTGTCTTTGGCTTTGGCCTGGGGTGGGGGTGGAGTCCACAAAGCCTCTATGAAATTAGCTTTAGGACATCCTTTTCCCCCTAACAATGTCAGGGTTCCTGATAGTAAAAGAAGTGGCTGGCTTAGGACAGACAGTAAGAGCGTACACGGTGATAAATGGACATATTTGAGCTTCAAAAGCAGCACTGACAGGTCTTCGTGATGGACGTAAACAATGACTCCCAAAGTAGGGGTCATGGGCCCCTGGATGGAGAGTGGCGGTATCTTCTGAGATGGTGAACCACTGCGCATCTGAGGTTGATGATATTTCTAAAAGTTTAAAAAAAGCAGAGAGAAAATGCCAGCCAAACTTCCGCCCCACTGGCCCGGAGGTCATGTCAGGGCAAGTTTCGTAGTCTCCCTGTAACTGCAGCTGCCCATGGCTACAAATAAAAGGAAAAAAGCAGCTGGATAAAGCCAAGACCGGGCCATGGTGCCTCTGTAGACTCTCTCTGGGGCAGAGCGGCGCCACGCCCGCAGCATGGGTCCTCATTTCACACTTACCTTGCTGCTAAGATCCTCCCTGAGCAGGGGAGAGTTGTCAGCAGGGACCAGGCGAGCGCCTTCCTCCGGGCGCGCCCCCCGGCTGGGCATCTCCGCCAAGATCAAGAAGGCTCGCGGGATGAGCTAGCGGGTCTAGCGCCCAGGCAGCCGCCAGACCCCAGGCTCAGCGCATGCGCAATCCCGGAAGTTCCGCCTGCCTCACGACTCGTACCAATAGCGTCTGCACGCTCACTAGAACGCCTGCGCAGTCGAGGTCTGCTGCGACGCATGCGCAATGATTCTTAGCCATGCTTGTGCAGACTAGTTGTGAGATTTGAGAGGTGCCTGCACCGCCCCCTAGCGGCTCGGATATGGACACGCTCTTGTGAGCGCCCTCTCTTGCGGCTAGTAGTGGGTGAGTTATGTGCGCCCTCCAGTGGATGATATAAACAATAGAAGCACTGTAGAAATGGCACTTTGTAGGGAAGGTTATGAAGCCAGGGACAGATTTAAGGGATGCATGGTTGGCAACGAACCTGTACAGACTTGGTAAAGTTTTTGTAAACTTGTTGTTAGAGTTAATAGGTATCTATCTGTTAACAGGATGCACAGTTCATATGAATTTCAGGTCAATTAATACTTTTTTAGTATAAGTAAGTAGGCCCCATGTGACATTTGCAACATCTAATTCCTATGTTAAAAATTATCCCAAACTTGGAAATAGGCAAAAGAACTTATTGGGTGTTCATTTAGTGATTTCCCGTGCTTGACTTCTTATTGATGGCATGTTTTACAGTTCTGTAGGGGAAGAGGTTAACTTGTAGATTTTGGTGTGGTAGGGATGTAAATAATTTCCATCTGGTGGACTAGATAATCTCACAGGTTGTGATTTATTCTGTAAGACATTGATCAATTTTGTCCCTAATCTTGTAATCCTGTTCTAATATTTATTACTATATACATAGCTTCTCATAAACTCTTTGAATTAGTTTTAACATCATACTGGTTCCTTCATTAATTGAAGTTGATTTTAACATCATACTGGTTCCTTCATTAATTGAAGTTGAATGAAACTTTGACGGGTCCATTTTATGTTTGCATGAGAAACACGGCTTTATACTTTTGAAAATTATATTTTTATATTGAGAATCTTAAGCTTCCACAGACATACTTCAGTGGACTCACATGGTGAAGCCAAACTCTGTGACTGAGGAAGTGTACCTCATGAGGTTTTCCTGCCTCATGAGAACATGCATAGGAGAACATCCTTTTGTGTTCTGGGTTAATGAGCTTTTGCGTTTGCTTTCAATCTGGGATTGATTTGTAAAACTGAAGCTATAAGATATCTATGTGTCTGTATGTTTATAATTTACCACAGCTTTTATATCTTGCTGTGAGTGTAAAATATTTTCATACATCTGGAAGATATTGATAAAGTCCATTATAAATCTCTTAAAGGAGCTATGTTTTGACTGGTTTATAGACATAAATATAAACTTCTATGAATCTCCCAAATTAAAAAAGTTCAGAGTTTCTAATGTTTTAAATATACTGGACTTTAAAGGATAAAAGTCATTCTTACAAAACTGCTAACTTAAAAACATTTTAATGACTCCAAGTTTATACAGACAAAACAGTCTGGAGAAATCAGGCTGTATTAGCAATTCTGGTTGAAGAAAGAAGTCCAATTATGTCTTTTCTCTGATTTCAGATGTATATTTTATTTTTTATGGTATTTAGATTTATTTTCTCATGAGAAGATTAGCTAGTCTAAATTTACTAAACTACTTATATGGGCTTACTGATTAAAAAGCTGGCATCACTGCTACAAAATGTTTACATTTGTAAAAAGTGTAAATTTATGTTCACAAAATATATGACTTTTAGACAGACTTAAAAATCAATATCAGACAGTTAATTATAATTTAACATAATTTAAATAGATTCCAAAATTCTTAGGTAATTACAACTGAGGTAATATTAAAATGGATTAATTAGTGGTAATCATTACATAAGTATGTAATTTGTTTAGAAATTGAATGTTGGAACACTGATTAATAAAAGCATGGTTGTAAATTTATGTGTCTTGCTGCTTGTTTTTATGTGCCATGGGATTACTGTCTTTTTGGGTCATATTAATTGACATGTTCATTTTTGCCCCTTTGACAACCTGTGAAAGGAATGTATGTGACTTATCAATTGTTTTATGTACTTATGAAATTTGTTTGATAAAATGTTTGCATCTGATGAGTGTCAATTATGTACATCAAGTTCTTTCTGTGAAATAGAAATTATTTTTTTTAAAGATTTATTTATTTATTTATACAAGCACTGGGTACAGTCAGAAGTGCGGGAGGGTGAGAGAATTCACCAGAGCCAGAGCGGGGAACAGAACAGGCAGACTGATGAAGTACACTGCTGAAGGGAGCAGCGGGCAGCAGGAGAGGTCTGCGTGCCATATGGGACCTTCGCCCTGCGGTCGGGGATCGGACCAGCGCTGCAGAGCTTCGCAGCCCACCACTCAACCGCTGCACCACCAGGGAGGCCCCTGAAATAGAAATTATTAAATTGGTTAAAAGCTGTAATTAATAAGGGTGGTTAAAGATCACATTAAGGGCAAGAGGAACAGTGTATGTAGGTAATAGGATGTCTTGTTTTGCAAGGGAAAGAAGAGTTCTAAAGTGCCAGTTTGTTCCAGAATACGAAACACCATAGTGAAAGATAAAGTTTGAAGGAATATAGCAAGTTGGAGAAGGTTTGATGAAGGTGAATTTTATTTTTCTTGGTTTATAATACCTGACCCTGTTAAAATTTTAGCAAAGTACTTCAATTTTGAAAACTTACTTGCAAGATGTATTTTTTTAAGATTTTATTTATTTATTTTTGCAGAGAAGAACTGGGGTATGGGTCGAGGCGTGGGGGTTGAGAGGATTTACCAGAACAGAGTGGGGAGCAGAGCAGAACAGAACATTCAGTCAATCTTGACTGAAATACACAGCTAAGGGGAGCAGCAGGCAAAACAGGAGAGATCTGCGGTGCCATGTGGGCTAGCTCCCTGGCTGAGGATCAAACTCAGGCTATCATGGCAGGCCATCAAGGTGGTAGTGCTGAGACGTAATCCCTAGGCCACCAGGGAGGCCCCTACAAGATATTTTTAAAAAACCTTACTGTAGGGCCTTCCCTGGTGGCGCAGCAGTTGAGTGCTGGGTTGCAAAGCTGCCCGCAGCCTCTGCAGCGCAGGTTCGATCCCTGGCCACTGGGCGAGGGTCCCACATGGCGCCCAGACCTCTCCTGCCACGCCCGCTGCTCCCCTCAGCAGTGTACTTCGTCAGTCTGCCTGTTCTGCTCCCCCGCTCTGGCTCTGGTGAATTCTCTCACCCTGCCTTGCTTCTGACTGTACCCAGTGCTTGTATAAATAAATAAATCTTTTTTTTTTTAAAAACAAACCTTACTGTAAAATTTTGTATTAGTGAAAAACTGAAATTTGGCACTCTTTTACCTACCTACTGGCTTCATTCCCCACAGTCTTTAAGGTTCACTACAAGCTAGGGTGAATCTGGAAATGTGCTTCCCCTGACACATGGGATATCATTTTAATTGGTATCTGTATGTGATGGTAAGGCCTATCTATAAAGTTGAGGAGACTGGGCATCCCGGCATATAAGTCTTCATCACACCTCACATTCTGTTGCGGTGTCTGACAGAGTGGAGCTCTGATTAATGTTTGGATTTACCCTGATCCATAATCATTTCTATACTGATTGTCCAGAACCATAACTGATTGCTCTATAACTTGCCATTCCCTTTTGGAGGTGGGTTATTGCTTCTGGCTCAGCCTGGTTCTGATTTTTCCATTTACATACAGATGACATAACACTAAACCAAGTGGTAACACTCATGTTAATGGGATGCTAAACTCTTTCAAAGTTCTTTCATATTTTATCTTATTCTTTTCAAGTTTATCCAGTTGTTTCTATTTCCCCCTTTAAGTGCTTTAATTTTTGTGTTGCTTAAAGTCATTATCAAAATTCAGGTAACTTTAGGGTTACTTAGTATCTTTTGTCTTGGCAGAGTGGTTCAGGACTGCCCATTTCTAGCCTACCATACAAGTAGATAGGCTGATCATCTTGTTTCATGCATCTTTCACAAAAGTCCAGGATTTGACTGTTTCACCAGTGAGTTCTAACAAACCTTCAATGATGAACTAATAGCAATACATCTCAGACTCTTGCAAAAAATTGAGTAAGAGGGGATACTCCAAACACATTTTATGAGGCCAACTATTACCCTATTACCAAAAGAGACACCACAAGAAAAAGAAAACTGCAGACCAGTTTCCCTGATGAACATAGATGCAAAAAACCCTCAACAAAATCTTAAGATAAAAATTAATGTAAAAATTTAAAGTTTTTGTTAACATATAATTGCATTTTAGGGAATTTTAATAGTTTATTTACATTGATAAAATAGTTTAGAATTTGAAAATGATATAATCATATTTATGTTATGATTATGAGAAAAACATGACAAAAGAAAATTTTCATTTAGAATCAAGAGAATTTCCTTAGACACTAAAATGATAAAACTTAAGCCCTCTGATTACGTACAACTGCCTAGCATATGCCTGGTGCCTATAAGGTATTCAAATATTTGTTGAATTCAACTGAAATCAGTTTTGCAGCCATTGAAAACCATTTCACAATTTTGTTCATTGAACTGTTCTATGATAAAGGTCAATGAGCAAATAGTTCTGGGTCCTAGTAGCATCTCTACTTAATAAACTATGTGACCTTGGATAAATCATTAAATTCTTTGGCCTCATTGAGCCATGACCAGTGAATTTTCAGGATAAGTCCTGTAGAACATGAACTCCACTTTTTTTTTTGTATGTGAATGAATTATCAATTAATGTTGAATGAGCCTAGAATGTAAATTAGGAAGGCACAAGATGTTAGCTAACCAACCACCATAGATGAGATAGGCACTATTACTATGAAACAGCTCTGTTCCATAAAACTAAAGCACAAGTCTCAAATGTGAGTCACTTATTGAATTTAAAATTTTCTAGCAGTGACATTATAAAAAGTAAACAGAAACAAAATAAAATTAATTTTAGCAGAAGGTTTATTATTTAACCGGTTATATCCATAACATTATCATTTCACCATGCAACAAATATAAACATTATTAATGAGGTATGTGTTTTTATCA